TGGGGGGATTGACAAAATTCTACTATAACAGTTTACGAGTGAATAATCAAAAATAGTAAATTGCGCTTTTTCTTTTTGCACAGCTTTAATTATTATTTTGTTAATGAACAATTAAATAGTAAAACGAATGAAACAGTTACTGTTTTATTCAAACCTAGTGGTCGCCCAGTGATCGAAATTCTTGCAAAATAAAAAATATACATGTATAAACATTCTTCATTTTCTCAGCATATAAACTGTGCCAAAGTTTATCTAAGAATTTTCATAAAAATAAGTAAGTTTAATAAATGCCAATAAATATAGCGCATAAAATCTTCATTTGCGCCGAGTAGACCTAATCATTTCAATAATTTCATCACAATCTGTCCTTGTGCGCAACAAGGACAGATTGTGATGAAATTATTATATTTATGAGTTTTCGTTGCCTTTTTACCATCCTTTTCCCGAATCAGCGCATACACCAACGATGATTGAACGAAAAATGATTATAATCCAGCCTTTCAAACAAAACTGATCAAACTAAACATCACTGACAGACTAAGGGAGTCCCTCCCTTAGGGGAGGAACGGTGCACCCCGGGCCTCCGGTCCTAGGGGAACTCCAAATGGGCTGTCGCCATACGCCAAAATCATAATATAATAACGTTAAAAATACATGCGCTGGGAGGGAGAGGTAAACGCAATATAAAGTTTCTGCTCTGATTGGAAAAAAAATTGATCCAGGCCTCCGATAAGGTTAGCCCGCCATTGAAACTGATTTTAAATTTAAATCCTACTTTCGGTTACAGATGGCATTGGCAGATCTATTCTGCGTAAACGAATATACACGTCCACTATATTAGTTGGAACTTATTGTACTACTCGTACGAGTTAATATGACACCTAAATGCCTATTCTATATCTTCGAAAACGAAATTACGACTCCATTGAAACGTATTCTTTGATAATTTTCGTTTAAGGACAAAAAGTTTCAGTCATTTCACGTCCCTACTCGGGCTCGGGCTTTTCTAATGGTTATAGAGAAATAAAAAAGAATAGACCTGTTTATGCAAAGATATTTTTGCTTCACGTATAACATTGATCACTACTCACCCTGAGCTGTAGCAGCAACGATGTCTTGTACACTAGAAGCAGCCGCTATAGCTGGTTCGGCGGGCGACAAACTCTTCCTAGGCGGGAGGGGAGGAGCCCTAAGTTCTCCGTACGCGTTCTCCGCAGGCGCGGGCGCACGACGCGACGCGCGCGGTGAGTGGCGGGGGGAAGCGGCCGGGGAACGGACAGAAGGCCGAAGACCGTCTATAGTCGACGTTGCCGCGTTAAACTCGGCCCAGTCCTATATTATTACAAGATAATTACAATAAAAAGTTTTTTTTTTTCAATTTTAAAATAATTTAAGGTTTTTGTAGTAGTGGCTTTCTGTTTTCGTTATTAATTCGCTACATCACAATTCCATGTCTTATTAAGAAATTACTTAATATTGATTAAAAGGCCATATTCGTCTTTTATGTTCTTTTTTTTTATTTGCAAATTGAAATTGATACGCAATAAAACTGCTGCCGCTGAATGAAAAATGTGTAAAAAATCCACTTTGTCCGTGGCATTTCGAAAAGAGACAAAGTAAATTTTTAGGCATTTTTCATTAAGAATACTTTTCAGTATAGCATTGTAAATGCAAAATTAATTAAATATAATTATTAGAAGAAAAAAAAAACATTTTTAGCAAAAGTTTAAATATTTGTAAAAATATTTCTTTCGGCTGTTTTTGGTGGATTGCCTTCTTGGACTGTCTAGTACCATCTCAGAGCGCCAGGGACAAAGTGAATTTTTAATAATTTTTCATGGAGATAATTTTTCAGTACCTATAATTGCATTGTGAATGCAAAATTGATCAATATAATATGCGGTGGACATGGTCTATATTTTATCACGAAAAACTGCATATAAAGGCATGCAAATATGAGTGGCCGTTTGTATAGGGAATTAAAACGTTACCATAGTAACCATTATTCACTATTCAATTTATCGTTGTAATTATATCACGACATGATAAATTGTTAAATTATTTAATCTGTATACACAGGAGTAAATAATCTTACTAATATTTATCCCGCCAACCAGCTCGCTGGGGATCACGGAAAGCGGAAAGCTGGTAATTAAATTACTTTTATAGTGAATTTTTGTCTTAGTCATTAACTTGCAACGTAATGATTCTGTGTCTAATTAAGATATTGCCTATAAAGATAAGATTTTTTTTTGACAAAAATTTGCAAACCGAGTATAGAAAGTTAGCTACCCTATGCCGCTGTCAAACATACACCATACTAAACAATATTTTGTATATAACAATTATTAACTCTAAATGAATAGATATTTAAATAAACTTAAACCTTTAAATAAAATAATATAACAATAAACCGTATGATGATGACATTATCACACAAGCAAAATTTAAAAAAGACACTTACCTTCACATGCAAAATGTCGTTACAAAAGCAAAATTTGGTGCACTAATCAAATCCACAACAAGCACTAACAATCATCTTACTTTAAAGCAAATATATTTATATAATAGATGTTCAGCAGAGAATGACGCTTTTCTATTAAAAAGTGATTATTTTAATTAAAATTAAACCTTTCGGTTGGCAATGACAAAATGTTGTGCATTACCAACATTAACATATTTCATTGTGTACAATTTAATATAAGTATGTATCATAGTACAAGTAAACTATTTACTTTAATAAAAACTTATAAAAATAGAACCGACTTCCAAACTTAAAAGAAACATTTTCTCATATGTCGCGTTTGAGATAAGTACCCATTATTTATCACTTTTTTAAGTTTATAAGTCGGTTCTACTTTTTATAAAAAGATTTTATTTTAAATATTTAGGTGAATATTACGACGAGAATATTATTCTTCTGAACTGATTATAATTCAAAATTATCGTGTTGCCTATCATGTTATCAATGTAAGATTATTGTTTTATATATATACATATATATAATGTTAATATCGTAATGTAAAGTGACTTCATAAATTTATAATGTATCTGATAATGGCATGGTCTTTGTGAATGTCAGTATTGCTTATTTTAAATAAGTTTATTTAAATGACATTTTTTGACTTTGACTGTAACAGAAATACAGAGCAGTAATCTTGGTGACATTCCACAACACTCCTAGTTTAGTAATAGAAAAGTTTGGCGTTTTAAACATCCAATTAGAACCAAAATTACCTATGAACGATTCAAATAAATTACATTTAAATTGAATCTTTTAACACCTATTTGTGCTCCTTAATAATTTAGAAAATAATTATATAATATTTTTAAAACAATAAATCTATTTTGGTAATTGTTTCAGTTGGACAGAATGAACATTGACTTAGCCTTTTTTAGAATTCTTTTTTGCTTTATGAAACCAAAAATAGATTTCTATAAACGCGAGATTAAATTTCGTCGATTTACAACATGGAAAAATAAAAAAAGAACACGGAAAGGTCACCTTCAGGTGGGTCAAATGACAAAAATAAAGAGCAGCCGAGCAAGCGAAATCAGTGGCCCAGCAGCAACTGATGTAGCATCAGAATCTATCTAATGTTACACCTTACATTATTAATACGTAGCAGCATTATATACTTACTTACCCATTTCTTTAATCTCAGACACCCTTTTAATTTCGGTGCGAGAAACATTAATAAGTAACCATAATAAGTTCTTATTTTATTCGCTTCTATAAATTAATATGGATATGGCTGAATGTTGTCATACTATCTTGTTGCATGATAATAGTCAACTACTTTTGTAACCGACGTATAAGTGTAGTTGAATGACAAAGTTCAATGAAAAGGCTAGTTATACTTTTTAATGAGTAGACTACATGTAAGATGTGTTTCATATACAGTAACTTCAAATTTTGGTACTTTACGAGTTATTATTTTTCTTTTGTTTTAATTATGTTATAGAGTATCTATTAATAGAATAAAATATATGAATAATTAACACATAGATGTTTTACATACTTTAAAAAATCTATTATCTTGAGTAATATGAAAATAGTGGGAGTAAACAAGCCTGTCTAAAATAAATAAAGCAAAAACACAAAAAGAATACACATTTCACCAAGCATATATTGTCAACATTGAAAAACTTACAAAATAAATAATTAACTCGAGTCAGCAGTAATAATTATAATTATAAAAAGACAAAGAAATAATGTAAATAAACTAAGCGTAAACAAATACTTCATTAGATCTTAAAAACACGAATGGACTCAAAAAATAAACACTATTTAATACTATTGCATTACGTTATTTAATACTAAGATTGTAGAATCCAAAATCCGAGACATATATTTAGCATGGTGCTTTACTAAATTCATCTAAACAAAATTCAAGCACTTTCAATTATTCAGTCGTAAAGTTCAAAATTATACATCATTAAATCGAATAATAAATAACGTCAATATTTTTAATTGAATTTTATGGACGTCATTAAATTAATTATTAAAGTATCCAATTAATAAATTTTTCTTACCAAATCAACTCCTAAATATCAACTTAAACAAAATAATGCATTCTGACGATTACGTCACGTTAAAAAAATAACGAACAATAAATAAATATTTACAATGACTTAAAAAATTAAATGACAAACAAAAATTTTGTCCAATAAATACTAAACTAAAACATCGAAAATTGTATACGACTTCTAATTCTGTTGTATAAATTAAAATGAACATTGTAATGTCCAACAAAAATGTAAAAAATTATAACTTGAGCATTACATTAATTAACAAAGAAAGTAATGCCGGTTATTGTGTTTATTGATAATTACGAATTGTACGGTGTATCTTGAGTACAGTTGTATAATAAACAACCGAGATTATATATAACATTACTAAAAGTATGTAAGTACAATGAAATGCATCGGCTTAATATGGTTCCCTCTTGTCATTCTTAGATTTAAACCTAACGATGTAAATCAATGTACAATGCAGTATACAGTTGTGTAGAAAAATTTAACATCATAATCGTTGATTTCAAATTTCAACAGCAAAAATTATATTCAAATAATATTCAAACGACTAAATTCAAGTCTCCACTAAAGTATCAAATAAATAAATTCAAGTTGACTATGTGTCAATACAAAAATATGATAAACAGCTTTATCACGTAACACATCTCTCGACTTTTTATCTCACGAATAATGGAAAATCGATAATTCCATTATAAAATACTCATTTTCATTAGAATGTGACTTAAAATCGGCAGGAGTCAGATGCAATGACTTTTCGTGCAAACACTAAGCATGCGGTGATTTTCTCTCGCGCCTCTGCGAACAAACACAACTGTTTATGTATGGACGCCTGCATGCAAATAGCTTTTTATTTACTTGCGCTTGTATTAAAGTCGAATATCGCGAAAATTATGCTGTATTCCCTTTTTTTGTCTTAAAGGAGCGGCGTTTTCTATAGCGAGAAACAATTTCCTCAGAAAACTGTCAAAGGCATTACCACTAGCATATTGAAATGACGTCACTGTTAAATGGTTGAATAGCATATTGAAATGGTTGAAATTTTTTCGGAGATATGATCCGATCACGAATTTATTTTACTATCGGAAAGCTACATCATACGCGGATGAATTATGCTTTAATTTACGCGGGCGAGGTCGCAGTGACAGCAAATTTTCCTATAAAGCAGTGTTTTTAGAGTGTTCACGAAAATATAAAGGGCATCACCGAAAGTTTGAGAACTGCGATATAATCTTTTCTGGGTACGATTGGATTCAATTGAAAAGCAATAATTTACCTTACAGTCAACACGTGACGTGAGGTTTATAATCCAGTGAGGAAATTTGATAGTTTCGTATGGCCCGACGTGCTGTTGACTGTATATATTTTTTAAATTTATATATAGGAATTTAAATACTTAAACGTTTAATGTCTTTGTTTTATTCTGAAGGTAACAAACAGCCTTCAAATAATATCCATTTATTTTGATCGTTACATTTAAAATTCTCCAAAGTTTAATAAATAATAGAAAATGCAATTCCCTACCGCCGCACAATTTACAAACACAATTAACAACAGTTTACTGCATACATACATACAGTGTTTATAAATTATGCAAGAGCCTTTACATCCAACAAAATACAAGCACAAGTAAAATTTAAGCAAACACAAATGGAATAAATGGAAAAAAAAACCAAACATATGAAGTGACACTTAAAGCTTTAGAAAGTAAAACACCCAAAACAATGGCAACACTGATCATGCCGCAGCGGCAAAATGCTAAAAACCATGCTCACATAAAACTGGTTTTTCAATGATCAAAAATAAGTATTGATATATGACATCTTGTAAAAAAACACACGAGGAAACAAACAACTAATGCTATTTTAATCTCACTCTAATAAAATGTGCAGAGCTATCTTATCAAAATTTACCCCTTTGGATGAAAACTCCTTTAGCGTGTATTGAGTTTATTTGTACTGCACATATTGAACCATGAAAATACTATATACCATATATATATATCATGTTTTGTCAATAATTGTGTGAATACTGTAACTTACCTGTGCAATTATTATTACAAAATGTCATATGAATAAACACTCTATTGAAATACACCAAGTATCAATTTACCTCGGCATCGTCGATGTCGTCTGTCAGTCCATTGAAAGTTGTATTCCTCGATGACCAACCGTTTGAATTGCTTGAAATTGTTACATCTACACCTGAAAATTGAAAGGGCAAAAAAAATAAATAAATTGATTTCAAAATTAACTATTGTATTTTAACTATTTTTTAGAAGTCTTGTCTTATATTTATTTTCGTGCATATAATATTGTTATTAGGCAATATTATATGCACGAAAATAAATATAAATATGACTCAATAACCCTTTATTACTTTAAATTATTTGTTATCATCTTCGATCAAGAATACAACTAGATGCCCAGTTAGAGTCCGAAAAACGGCCGAAAAAACAATACCTCGCTTCAAATTGAGATCTTATTTTGTTTTAGTTTGTTTGCGACGGCGCTAAAGTTCGTACGCGTTTCGATACCACAGTGCGTATTAAAACTGCAGTAAATGTCATTTTACATGTCTATAATTAAAAATAAAAGCACGTACATGGGAGTAGTGTACATTTTGCACTTTGAATGTTACCCGCTCTTTTCTTAGGCAATTTTACTATCAATTTACAAGCAAAACAAAAACAAATGACGTCATGCGCTCTGAAATTATATTGATTGATTTAAAAATACAAAAAATAGAGTAGTTTTAGTAGTGAAAAATAAGTCACGAAATTGCACAAAATCTAAAATTTATTTCGTAATAAACATAGAGACTGATTTTAAGTCCAAAAATCGCACGTTTATCTTAAATTTAAAAGTCCTGTTTTTTTGTCTATGTGAAACGTGAGTCGTATCACTACCCGCCATTGTGTGAAGCCACTGTGGCGACAGCTATCAGATTAGTCATAAATATATGTCTATTAATTATAAATCGAATTCCTAGATGACGTTATTCTTAGCTTATATTTTATTATTCTTATTCTTTGTTAATATATTCATATTTATATCTCGTAATTGATCGTTGGATGGCATTGTTTTTGTTTTATTGACATCTTTTAATTTTCTACTCTATGCATCTGTTTTGTGCATTATTATTCATTCATTCATTCATAACAATAACTATCGAAAACAACAAAAACATAACAAAATTGTGTGTGATCTCAACACAACCCAACTCAAAAAGAATACTCGTCAACCAGTGTTTATTTGTTAACGGTACTGATTGTTCAACGCAACTACGTCACTAAAATGGCGATCTGACGTGCATGCATTAGCAATTTGCGGGGATTTTACTCGAGTCCATTTTACTACTTTGTATTTTAACAGATGGTGCCGTATTTCAGTATTGCTTTAGTATGCGAGGCCTTTTCATCTAGTTGTATTGTTGATTGAAGATTCAGTCTTTTATGATTATCATTAAAATATTAGACAAGCTTATAGACATTGCGAAGATCCCAAATTAAGTAGGCACTTGTCACTTGCGCCCACAATATTGAAGACCTTCGTAATCGAGTGGCTCCCACGCCGGTTTCAAAGTGTTGCCACTGTTGAGATCCCTTGTTCGATTGAATGAAGTTTTGAAGGTCTTACACCTTTGTTGTCGTTTGTCACGAAAACAATATAGTTTATTATATTCCAAAATTTCTAAATATATACTGACTAGATCCGTTACATCCGGATGAGCCAGAGGAGCCTGAAGAGTTAGAAGATACCGGTTTCACTGCAGTCTTTGTGTTTGAGTTCCTGTTAAAAAAAATTAAATCAGTATCATGTATTAACGAACTTAGATCATTAGACTTATAGAACATTTATTTTAAAGAAATTCCAAATCTTTCCCAATATAATATAAAACTAGTTTAAATTGTTAGTAAGGAAATATTAATTATTAAAAATTAGATATTAACTTTATATAGGGGGCGGCCCTTTCACTGCTGGGGCTCAGGCCTTCCTAATGGATTAAAAATCGACAGGATCGAATCGGAGGACGACATACGCCCTAAACGCTGGCCCAATGCCGATTGGAGGGTGTTAACGACTGTAAATGCAGCCAGGAGCAACTGTTTAACGTGGCTTCCGAAGCACGGATTAGCTCTAGATAATTTGGTCGCCCATCCCGAAACCGACCATTGCGAAAGTTGCTTAACAACAACGATCGCAGGCCGCGGCGCCACCACGGCACCGAGCTAAAGGTAAATACTTACTTGTTATCGTTGGGCGGTCGTGGCGGTATGAACGCATCGACCACAACTTGTTCTGTGCCTTTAATCTCCGCACGACAAAATGGACACCCCTGACCCTCAGAATCCTATAAAAAACAATACGATTTATGAATACTCTTTTGTAGTATACAATAGACAAAACATAATTCGTTTAAAAGATTGTGCAACAAGATTTGGACCAACATGGCGCTTGGTAAATATTCGTTTGCGCAGAGTAGATATACCTTTTAATACGATACCCAAACGTATGATTTCAATTTTAAATGGGTCTTCTTTTATTATCTGTAAGGTGTAAAGTATAATGCAATAGGTATCATTTTCACTCATATTTCACAAAGATTAGGCGTGCTGCTTGAATCATTCTGAATGGGGTCCATGTTGGCCTCGTCAATAGTATCTTCAATTAAATAATATAATGTTGTATTAAAGAATATTAAACAAGTTTTTTTTTTTGCGTAATCAATAAAATACGGCGACACATAATGTCGCACCTTTGTCCTGTTTTCCATAGTTATGACGTAACATGTCGCCACTTCACAACTTTAATGCCTATTATTTTAGCCATTTCTTGATAAACTGAAGCAAAAAAAATACGTATCTAATATTTTTCTAATATCTGTCTAATGAGCTAAATAGAATTTCTTTTTTTTTAATAAGTCATCATACCTATGAAAATATTTTGCCAATCTTAGCTTTCTAGTATGGCGTAGGCTTCCTATTCAATGCCCCGTGCCTACGGCATCTACGTTTCGACAGTCGAGAGTTAAACCTTAACGTAAAGCAATTAAGTCTATATTTCGAGAGTATTGGTACGTATACTATCGGCTGCAGGTTGCTCTCTTATGCGCAGGCAAATTTCGCTGACATCTTTTATAAATTATAGTACTGTAATAACTTGTTTTTCTATTAATACCAGTTAAGATTTTTTAACAAGCCAATGTTTTGTATATATAATCGCAAAGCGGCCAAATTTTTTTCTGAACAGTTATATGAAATATAAAATATAGCATTATCAATTTAATTGTGTATAAACTAAGTATGCTTACAATTTGCCAGGCTGTGAGACAAGGTGTACAGAGTAAATGACCGCACGGTTCTATTCTAATGTCTTTGTCGTTCTCTGCGCAAATCTTGCATAGTTGGAATGTGCTTCCTGTAACAACAAACATATTATCAATCAAACTATACCAGGGGTTGATAACCTGCGGCTCGCGAGCCATATATACAGATTTTCGATGTAAAGTCAAGTTTTCTAATTCAGAACAATCATTAGAGTTTGAAGTCATCATTAAACGTTAAATGACGTTTGTGCAACTGACCAAAACGATATTTTTTAATACAAATAAATCTCGTACATACCCATTTCACAATATAATTCGTATTGTTCCTGTGTTACGGTGATGTGGTCTTCGGTAGGTGATATGATGGCGCTGCTCAAATCGGGATTCACATCTCGACCATCAGGGTATAAATAGCTGTAAAAAATAGCCAAAAAATTTTTACAGCTATATTATATTTATACAATAAAATCTAACGACAGTGACAATTATCTTTACGGCCTCACTTCATTGTACCGTAAACTGATTACCGACATATGCAAATAAGTCAAAGAAATCGCCCGCATTGTGACAGCAAAATAGAATACAATTGTCAACACCCCCACCTCTTCCTGCGGGTGTCTAAAGAGCCAACAAAGGGATTACACAATAAGCAAAAAATGGGTAGCAGCGCTCTCTGTTAAATCATATTTTTGATACTGCGATCTTCAACCCGTCTGCCAAGCGTGGAGATTATGGCAAAACCCTTCACTAACGATGAGGAGGCCCTTGGTCGTGTTGCCTGCAGTGAACTTTTACTTTTACTGTTATGATGAAATTTGCCATAAAGACCTACGTTAGGTATTAATTTTCCGCACCTACGCCCAGTTGCACACAAGCCCTAATTGATGTTCTAAATTTTATAATTTGTATAGGTAATATTGGATGATAGACGCCTTTGTCTGTCTATTTGTACATGAACAGTTGGCTTTTTTATTACAGCCAACTCAACAGCGCCCAGAAGCGCAAAAGCTTTGGGGTATTACGGACTTCTTTAAGATCGTAGAGGGCTAACTTTAATTGCACGATAAGTTGGTTGTTACACCGCATGCGGGAACTCCCAGAAACGGGATAAAGGGTGACAAAACGACACTGTATTATTCGGATTGACGAAGCGTCGAATCGTAGCCTACATGGATCTCTTTTTTAGAAAGAGTGATCAAGACAAAATTGTAGGATAAGTTTATCATCATCATCATCACCGGCTTATAAATGTCTTCACTGCTTAGGCTCAGGCCTACACAATTGAATCAAATCGAATAGAGAGAATAGTCCATGACCCACCACGCGGACACATTGCGAATTGGTGAGTGTTAATGACAGCAGATGCAGCGCGGACCAACGGCTTAACGTACCTTCCGAAGCACAAAGAAGTTCGAGATAATAACTTTTTATTCACCCATCCTCGCGGCCTATTATATGTTAGATTAGTTGTGCCATTATAATAAACTCACAATCCTTCTCTGTATCCGTCGAGGAGAGCTTGCACCAAACTCTTATTTTGCGGAATTGTCTGAAGAATTTCACCGTCCACCGTAACGTAACCTATCGCCCATTGTCCGAGGCGTGTACACGATAACCTGTGAGAAAAGACTTTATTAGGGAAACGTGGATAACATATATAAAATTAGAACAGAGTAAAATATTTTATTTTCTATTCCTATTTCGTTTGTTATGTAGTTATGTACTATATTTACGTATATATTTATTTATAGATGTGTCACTTTTGTCTCCTATTTTAATATTGCACCCACGTTCGGTTTTATTTTTATTGATTAATGAAATTCTTGAAAACCATTAATCTAAGAAAAACTGGTTACAAAGCACAACTCACAAACGAGTCGGTTCAGCGATATAGCCTAACTGTTCGAAATTTTAGTTTGTAACCAATTACTTTTGAGTAGCTACGTGTGAGAACGGCTTAGTACTCGTATTTACAAATATAGTTTTTGCAACTTTTTCTTCTATTGCTGTCTAATTTATTTACTAATGCTATATGTAAAACATTGATTTCTAGTAAGCGTCATTCTAGTCCAACGTTAAGAATAAATTTTGGTGCCGTTACGATTGGCAAAATATCTGGCATAAATAACCGTATCATTAACCCTTCTGATCTAGAAATAAATTTCAAACTGATAATACACGAAAAAATAAAATTTATAAACTAACAATAATCACATGTTCCAAGAGTTCTTTTAAGCTGCATACCTACGTTGAAAACCACTTACCTAAACACATAACTGCCAGCCTTATGTATATATTTTTGTAAACGAGCTTTGACTTCATCGTAAGTCAGGAATGCCACGTATCCCGGGTGAGTTACAGCCAGCAACTGCCAATTTCTAAGCAACGTACTCCATGGCTGGAATAATCTGGAAGAAACATAATACATACATGTAAATAAAATAGAATATTTGGTTCAGAATGTTCAATACCCGAAATTTTCAGTCTAGCATCATGATGGATTGCTTGAAGACATTGATGAAAAATATGTAGCAAGCTGATTGAAATTATCCTCATAGGCTGTCTTAAAATATTAACTTAATGCTATTTATTATTTTCTATCTGTGTATTCAACAGTATCAAAACTATCATGATGTTAGCTTGGACATTAAGGAAATTTTACTTTTTTTTTTTAATCCACTTTGTTCTTGGTACTCTTGAGATGGGATCCGAACCCACGACCTTTCGCAATCCGGGTGACTGCTTTAACCACTGAGCTACCCAGGACTTAACACGAGTTTTTCAAGCGCTTGTTACTTTTTCGCTAATACAGAGCGTACTTTCACCGATGTTCAGGCAATCCACAAACAACCGAAAGAAATATTTTTACAAATAGTTATTGGAGATTTTGGGAACTGGACATTTCGAGAATTAAACATTATATAACCGTTGGACATTCTGAACTGTTACGATGACAGATGACACAGATGTCAACCAAATAAATACATCAAAGAAAAAATTTAAATCACAAAACGACACGCGACGATTATTTCTATAATACAAATGCAGCTAAATATCAGTCGATTGTTATTTGACCTTCAATTTCACGATCAGAACTATTAAACTGAAAGTGGAAGTTATATAAAATGACGACTGAATCTATAGTGATTAGTTTCTCATATTAAAAATGGTAGATTAGCGATCCAATACATATGAGAAAGCCATAATGTAATGCCAAATCAATGTATCAAATTATCTTAATGCTGAGGAGGCTATTTAGGGGCCGTTTTTTTATGATGTATCACTATTACATGTTCAATACAATAAATTACGTACTGGGTACGTGATAGGCTATTAAATAGCTAAAAATTGCCAATTCTTACCGTGTAAATACGTCGAACTCGAAATTAGATATAAAATCGTTGCATGTGAGATCTATGGTCGTCTTCAACGCCATCGTCTCCAAACCTGACGATATTGGATGTACGTTGTTCAACTCTTCTCTAAATATTTTCCATGGAACCAGTGTGCTGAAAACAAAAGAAAGACAACGTTACAATCAAACGATTTATTATACCATCACACATAAACACTAAAAAAATACTGTAAATGTACATGATCTAGCGGTTTGACGATTCAATGAGATCGGAATGAAATCATAAAAGGGTCGACGCATATATGACTGAAAATCTGACAAAATTAGTGCTAGGTGTTTCAGATTTAGTATGAGGGTTCTTTTAAGGATTGAGTGTTCACTAAGACGGGATTTTGCGTAATTGGACCCCTAAAGCCGCAAACTGGACGTCCGCGGGCGTGATAGCGATCTCAGCACGGCGCGGTACATTTCAAACAAATTTAAGCATTTCTGTCAAGTCGGGCGAGCCAAGCGTTGCAACGCCTAAGTAATTATTTAATACTCTAAATGCACCGCGGGCGCTATCGCTACCAACCCAATGGGTTATTTTTTGTGTTGGTAATGTGTATGTGAAGATTCATACAAATTTTACAAACGCTTTACTCAAATTTTGCATAGGGTTTCTTTCCATCATCATCAGCCCTTTTACGTCCCCACTGCAGGGGCTCAGGCTTTGCTTATGGATGGTTAAGAAGGATGAATGCTGATTGGAGAGTATTAACGACATGCAGACAGGACCAACAGCTTAAAGTGCCTTCCGAAGCACGAAGTAACTCGATATATATATTTTTTTAACATTCAATCCATAATCCACCTTTACGAAAGTTGCTTAACAACAACGGGCCGCGGCACTTATCCACTACGCTACCGAGCTACTCTTAATAGGGTTTCTTGGGGTTCTTGCATAGGGTTTCTATTAAGTATTTGCAATTAAAACATAGGCTACTTCTCAAACCGAGAAAAGGTTCCCTAGGGACCACGAGAGCAAAACGCCTAGCGTAAAACTTGAATTTACACAATGTTGAATTTAAACGTACTAACACATAATTAGCTTGGTGGATATTTCTTCAGGTGTGCATCAATCTTAATTGGCGAGATAAAGATAAAAATGCCCTTGCAGTGAGTGTTACATATTTTGTACCTTTTTCATAGGACCACAATCATTTCAGGTGAGAAATAAATGTTTAAAGATACACCAAATTATGAATTGTTTTGCCTATTATAATTATTCAGAAATAATATATTTGTTGATTTAAAAACAAGTCAATAATATATTTTCTAGAAAAGAATTATGTACTTATTTATTTTAAACGAAACAGAATAAAAGATATGGACTCTGTACCTATAAAAATAAATAGTAGGTACCGAACATATAAATATAATTCTGTCCATTCACATACTCGTATATTTAAATATAATAAGAAAAAATATTTGTACATATGTAATCGCGTAGGTACACCATAAGAGGATAAAATTTAATATTTCTATTAACAGTATTCTGACTGTAAATATCCTTATTTTTTTCCTGGATAATAAATATCATATCGTCATGAATAATAACAAAGTAACAAAGAAGCGAAATTAATAAGAGTAAATGGTAAAGTTACCGAAGAAATTCCTGCAAATCATTTCAACAGCACCGAATCACATATGAACACCGAACGAAGGTGCTCGTTAAATAAACAAGGGATTGTTTATTTTTCTGCAAACACAATATCTCAGAAACGTAAAATGTCATTACTCGGCAAAACGTTTTCTATTTACGCCGAGTCACTCATTTGTGGGGTCAACACAGCACTTCACGTCCACGCAGACGGGGAAAAGGTGGGTATTTTTAAAACGTTGAAGGTCAAAACCTTTTGTATTTTATATTAAACCTATTTTAAACCCTTTCATAAACAGATGGAAGAATATGCAAAAATAAACCTTGTTAACATATATGTAGCAATATAACGATTGCAGATTTTATGCCACTGAATAGAAATGTCCGCGGTTATATAGTTCATACGTGAATAAATGTAATACGAATAATGGTAATTTGAGATTCAATAAATCCGAAAGAACAAGTGGTCGTCTTGTCGAAGAAAAAACTCAACACCAAAGACCGACAAGATGTTGAACAGCAAACGGCACAATTCATACACGATTGCACGATTGAGGAACGTTATGAGCAATTAAATAAACTCAGCATTCAGTAATATGCTAGCTGGAAAATATGACTATTTGCCCGGGTCCTAGAATTTCAAAAAGAGACAAGATTAAGGGTTAGTTGCACCGACTCACTTTAATAATAACAAACGTTTTAAAATATTGATTAAGCAATTAATAATGAGTTATCATTTGACAATAGTTGGATGACGTCATAACTTTTACTGTAAACTATAACCGCCATGTTTCGCTGGTTAAAGTTATTATTCTACTACGTCCAGAAAGAAGATGGTGCAACGCATTCCAATGTCAATGTCATATTCAGCGTGACAGATGTTGTCAAATTTTACATAAAACTTAACTTTAACTGCAATGATAGTGCAACTGAGACTAAAACAGGCTTAGTTAAAACTTTAAAATAACTACCTAAAGAATCTTGACAACTCGGATCAAATCTTATAAAAAGTGGCGTGGTGAGCTGACTCATATACAAACTATAAAATGATATATAATCGTAAAAACGCTTCTAGTTGATTTCATATGTAGCCCTTACCTTAAAGACATGAACCAATGGATGTAATATAGAATAAGATTATCCTTATTAATATGTCTATAATTTCATTTTCTATCTGCAATACGAATGGAATCCGAATATTGCGAAATATTTAAGAAACTATTGGGGCAACAATTTCAAATAAAAGTAACTCGCTAATAATATTAAACAGCGTCGACTACATTTAAACAATAACACAATAGCTATGCGTGAGAATTAATTTCATATGAATCACTAATTTAATCAAATTTCGAGACAATGAACTGCAGCATTAATTTCAAGCGTCATTTAGATGGTATTGATTAACGTTTGTAGTATCTTACTAGATACATCGGTTAACATAGATTATTAATTAAACGGCAGTTCTTGTAAAAATGTGGACAAGAATTCTAATACAATGTAAGTCACTACTTATGTCGTTAAAATACAATGACTACTAATAATAAAAGATAGATTGGTAAAACTGAATTTTATTTCGTCCTCAAAGCGCTCAAACACTTGTTTTTCAAATTTTTTAATTAAAAAATAAAGGAGGTCGATAACATTTCGTGTCAATTAAGCGAACACGACTAAATCGTCATTCAATCCTCTTAAATTTGTTATCCCTAATGGATGTTCTGATTATATAGAAAAAAAATGATAAATCATCACAGAAAAAGCAAACGAGGATATTTAGGAAGTACCTAAATATCATTGATTAATCGTCGTAAAACAATATTCAGTGACAATAATAGTAACTTGTACAAACCGAATTAGCAAAAGTCGATATGTATAGAAGTGTACGTGTTAAGGTGTATGGAAAAGGATATGGTATGTATTAAGAATTCATACAATTGCACGTTGCCATAAAGATCGATAGTGGGTCGACTCATGGGCGCCTGCTCTTAGGCAACTTCGAACAATGCTCGTGTGAATTAGCGGAGAATTTGTAATGCAGAATTCTTGCTATGGATAGGCATTCGAAGCTATGTAAGTACATGGTGCATAGCATGTTACTCTCTGATATTGTACAAAATTCTTAGTCAATGTTGATATGCACATGAAATTTTCGGGCGATTCAAAAGTGCTTGTAATAAGTCTACTTGAATAAAGATATTTTTATTTCACTTCATTTCAGTAAGATCAATTCAAAAGAATATTAGTTTAGTAGCAGAGTGGTTCCCATGCCAGTTTCAAAGTCCCGTCCGAGGACATTCCCGATCGGGCCAATATAGAGAATAAACATTTCTATTTCATCCCGGATATTGAGGTTTTAGATACTCCATATACCGCGGGTTTTAGGTACTTACCTTGAAAGATGAATGTATATACATTTTTTTTTATTATTTTGACCAAGTACACACAGCAGTATATTAAGATATCACAAAATGAAAAATTTCCCCAATTATTTTTACACCTTCCAATGCTTTCGGAACAATTTCGTTTTGTGAAATCTGACATTTTTGTATACCCTGGCGTACTATTGATTGCGTACGTCAAAAATGTAGTCATATGAATAAATAGAAGACTACCTGTTTTTAGATATACATATTATTTTAGGCAATCAATAATGTAAAGACGTTGAGGAACAAAATATAGATACGAAGAGTTACGTTACGTTAGCATAAAACGTAATCCCTGAATGATATATTAACCGTCGAAAATTTGAAATAAACGTCTCAAATAGAACTCAAAGACTCAGTTATCTATTACTTGTACTGAATGATAAACAAACTGCTAGATTTTCAAGTGAGGCAAAAGACGAAACAGAATAACAAATTTCCGTTAGACAAGACATCGCTTAGATTGAAAACCACTACGACAGAAACTTGGCGGTTTTGTTAATGAATTATTTTGGAACTAACGAACTGCCACGCCGCCCCGGGGAGTAAGTTTAAATTGTAAAGGCACATTTAATAATAAATTGTGGGTTTAACGAAAATGAAACCCACAAATTGTTCCATCTATATCACGATAGCGTTGTGTATCTTGATAATTAAATTGATCCTTTGAAGCTGAAATATGTTCTACAAATATTAACACACATAAAAGTCATAACTGTAATAGTATTTGAAAATAAAAATATCCCATGGGGATAATGTAAAAAAGGTTAAATGTTAAAGTACTACTCTGCTCGCAATTGCACTGAAGGATAACAAATATATTTTAACCATTTACATTTTTTAATCATACGTCACTTTGACGCGAGATCATGAATGTATCCCTTTTTCCAAAATCACTTTTGGAAACCAGTAGAATTTTAAACACTAGTACGTTTACCAATGAGGATCTTTTAACCATATAACCTTTTAGTTATATGATTTCTGAACAAAAATATAAGGAGCTTATTATTACTAATATACAAAGGTACTTTAGCAGTTTCCAACATGTTACTCCATTTTCGGAATGTAACTATAGAATTTTACAAAGTACTT